GTTTTTAGTTCGAATAGGAGTCCTTTGTACCACACTCGATCAAACGCCTGTTTGATTTCAACGAATGCCGCGACGCAATACTCAATTTCTCGAAGCTGTTGATAATGAATTCAACCACTCGGTGAAGCTGATCCAGTGTCCCATGCCGTCATTGAGTTTTGAACTGATGCCGCTTAACACAATCCAACTCCGACACTCTGGCCAATAATATTGGGTTTTTCGATTGTCGATCTTGAACTTTGGTAACTTTAGCTCTAAACTTTGGTAACTTTAGCTGTCCAAATAGGCTTAGACATGTTCTAAAACGATACCAAATACAGATTTCCGCTGTGCCACAACCCAGTCGGCGTAGCCATTTTATATGACGCGATTTCGTATATATTCGCAATTACAAGCACTAATTTAATAACGCAGAAAAATGTCTTCTATACGGGCAGACATTTCACAATCCCAACACACCCTTTTTATACCCTGAACCCTTTAAAAATGGGTATAAGGGTATATTGTATTTGTGCAAAATCCATATGTATGTAACAGGCAGAAGGAAGCTTCTCCGACCCCATAAAGTATATATATTCTTGATCAGCATCAATAGCCGAGTCGATCTAGCCAAGTCTGTCCGTCCGTCCGTCGGACATGCAGTCCGTTGACATATAGCTTCTAAAATAGAATATATATGTGCATTTGATGTTGGAAGAAGAGGGTTCAGGGTATCCCCTAGTCGGGAGCTCCCGACTAGAACCTCTTACTTGTTCACTTTGTAGAACCTTTTTGCATTATACTTATTTGATCTGCTTGAGTAGGGACATTACTTTGGACAATCGGTCTAATGCAATATTGATCGAAGTGGATATCTGTAACTACATGCATTCAAATAAATATACTTACACATATTTATGCATGAGTTTACTCAAACTGAAACACGGAATATAATCGCTGCTGGCGTAGCAACATATCGTCAACAATAAACTCATTCTTAATTCTTGTTTAATTGGTACTTAACATGCAAATGTAAAATGAAGCGAGAATCCAAGACAACTGTCCTGACGTGCGCTATCTTACTCTAACCAGGCTGCCGTCCTCCAGTGCCACACTTCGCTTGGCGTATGAATTTATCTGCGTGTGTGTGTGTGTAGGTGTTAAAACCATTAGCTACATGAACTGACGGCAGTTCAGAACTATTGTTGCAAGTACAAATAAAGCTATGGATAGCACACATTGTGAATGTGATGGGTGTGAATATCCTTGGACATTTCCAGCTCAGTTCGTGGACAAACGAGCCGGGAATAGGGTAGCTTGAAAGTGCTCGATGTCTTGGCCACAATCAAATTAAATTAAATTTAATTGAAATGCAATGCAAAAATTTTTTAGCAGATTTCGAGAATTGATTCATTTTTGACTATTGCCCCGTTACCGGGGGATGGAATAAATATAACACAAGTCCCCCGCACGGAAGTCCCGCCTACGAACGTCGGTTGTCTGGCCAGCAGCAGCTATTCATTGATATAATTACAAAGTTTTGTTGGCCAGTTGATGAGCCAGTTGGAAAACAAAATCAAGAATGCGATTGCCTTGGTCGCTTTTCCGTTTGCCGTTTGGGTAAAAAGTTTTAATTTCAAAATGAAGTTTGTTTCAATGCTCGGTTCAGGCTGTTACGGGGGATGGCAATAAAATAATCAAAGCGTGCACAAAAATGCAACGAGAATTGCCGAAAAACTGGTAACAAAAGTAAGCGAAAGGCAGAACGCGGCAAAAGCAAACCAAAAAAGCTGTGCTGCATACAGCGCAGCTTGGATGCCTTTTCTTGAGATTTGATAAATATTGTGACGTTACGACAATGAATATAATCAAATGTAGAATCAAACCAAATAATTTAAAATATACGTAAATACATATATATTCATTTATTTATCGGTTCGACATCGGAATTCTTCTTTTTTATTACTTACCCAAGTTCAAACAAAACCGATTACCAAAACCTAACCAAATTTTTATTGAAGAAAACGAAATTTTGAGGGGTAAATCCCAATTTTGGGGAAAATCGAAAAATAAATGAATTATTTCATTAAAATTTTGATAATAGATTACGAACGAACGTTTTTGAATCTGGACAACAAAAAACAATTGATATATACATTATATATGTATATATATTTGTTTTAAAAATGATGGCATGGCCAACACTCCCTTTAATATACCTAACTCTTCGGAAGACATTAGAGGCTGCTTCGAGACAGGGTGCGAGCAACAGCAGTCCAGTGCAAATTTACCTGTAAACTGTGAGAAGGACAGATGGACAAGCAAATAGCTATTCGAAAAATAGCAAAAGTTGTAGAACGTGGCAGCGGAGCAACAGAGGAAAGGATTCCAATGCCAATGAAGTTCTTCAGGGCGTAATGAGACGCTCGTCGTTGCCCAGCCTGCATGTAGGACCAACGAGAGAAAGAAAGCAAAGCAGAGACAGATACAGGGGTGGCTGTTATGCGCCATTAGGGTATAATTAAAATACTCAAGTTGCTCAGCGGCTACACTTGCCGAAGCAAACTAACCAAATGACGAAGACGCTGATAATGACAACAGACGACGAAGAAACAAAGTTGCCAATGCAGATGGGGACAGGTGTGGTAGTGCAAACGAGAATGGATGTGAGATGATAGCTTGGCTTAGGGCTTGGCTTGGTTGTCAATAACCGTGATTTTTCGGGAGACAATTTAGTCTAAGACCTAACTAAGCTATTTGATTTTTTTGTTTTTCAAACAAGATCTCTTGATAACGACTATATTTAAGATTTTAATTTAATATATTGTTTAATTATTTTGTTTGTAGTTTTTAAACATAACAGAACGAGAGAGAAATTTGTTTATACAGGCAGCCCTTCGCTGCAGTAAGAAATCGATACTCATATATGTACTTCCCAGATATGCTATGTGCTATATTCATTTACTGGTATAGCTTTCTGAGGGTTTCTTCTATGTTCATTTCATTTCGTTTGGTTTCGTTGTGCTCTGCCCAAAAGGAAAAGTTTGCACTTGAAGTAGTTTTTTCGTTTGCCTTGTTTGTTTTTGGTTTTATGTGTATTACTTTCGATGCCTCGTTGTCGTTGTTGTTGGGGCTGATGCAGCACTCGTCTAGCAAACTGTTAAGCACTTAAGTAGCATTAAAGCAATCACGATAGTCTAAAGGATTGCCAGTAACGGAAACAGCAACGGGAACGCCAACAGCAACAGGAACAGCAGTTCTATTCTATTTTTCTCTTGGTTTCTCTTCTTTTTTTTTTTTTGGTCATAGCCGTATTATACATATGAGTGTGTGGCCATAGTTTCATATGCATTGCAGGTAGTCTAAGATCACTCGACTTCTGTTCCTTTCACTACTTATGTATATCTCCTGCTGTCTATGGTTACGTGTATGCATATATGTGCATTTGTGTATTTATGTTAACGTTTTTTTAGGAAGATTTTGAATGAAATTCCGCATTGCGAATTGAATAACACACTCCTACAGCTACTCAATAATGTACTTATATGGCAATATGAAAGTGAAAATGAAATCATCGTCAATATAAGCTGAGAGAACATATTTACGATGAAAGAGTAAAGCATACTAATTATGCTGCCACAGGTTTTGTTTATTTGACACCTTTACGTCAAGGCTATAAGGTTACCTATGCACAGTTAATAATAATTATTATAAATCTGATGGTAACAATGCCATCCCTTTTGATGTGCACGTAGCGTATACGCAACTTGTGAAATTATCAAATATCAGCTGCCAGTCCGTCATCCTAGCGGTTGGAATCTGGTTCGCACTCTTACCACTTATTTTCCCTAAATCCAGCACAATCATACACATATAGGAACATACTCCGCTTACTGCGCAGTGCGTACCTTACGCCAGTCACCATGGGAATTGCAGTATTGAATATACATATATATATATATATATTTATTTATTCGAAAATGTTTAACGTTCACGAAGAGCTTCAATAATAAATATTTTCTATAGCCTGAACCCATTTAAATAGGGTATAATTGTTTCATGCGAATATATTAACAGGCAGAAGGAAACACCTCCGATATATATATCTAAATATATATAGCACACCCGATAAGAGCACACTTGCCTGTTTTTTGAGTAAAATTTAATGGTGAAGAGTTGAGATATCTGGATTATTGTGGTTGGAATCATGGGCTATTGTAAACTGAGTGGTCAAGAATTAGCAAGCTGTTGTAGAACCTCTGATTATGATATTCTTGTGAGTGATAATCTAAGCTCAAATAGCCAAATAGTGACAAGTCGTAGGCGATTTTTAGTGTTGTTAATTTCTCTTTGTGTGTGTTTGCTTGGAATTAATTGCTTTGAAGTGTTGTGTGTTAGACCACTAACCATACAACATGTTGTATGGAATTAGAGGTTAGACCAAGTTGTGTTTTTGTAGTCATGTATTTTGAGCTCAATGTGTTTGAGGAAGTCTGAGTACTTGTAGTTTGTTTCTGTAATGAGGGTGAATTTATCTGCTTCATTGGCTGTTTGGTCCGCTTATTTGTTTACGGGAATATTTCAGTGCATCACATCAGGAATCCACATCAGTCAGACTCTTGTGTTTCGGAATAATACAACATTTCTTCTGGACGTTGGGTATAGTTGTTATTTTTGAGGTTGGCTATTGGCGGTTAGGCAGTCTGTGCAAATATCCTTATACGCAGACACATTCGCACATATAATTGGCTTGATTTTGTGTTAGTTATGGTTAACTTAGGATGTAATGTTGTGTGGAACATTTTTACTGCTTGCATCAAACTTAATTTAAATGGTTATAGTGCTCATAATAATAATAATGATATTGATAATTAGCCTTATGTCCACTGATTCCATAAACTGACATGCTTACATAACGTATTTATTGAATGTATTTAGCAGACATCATTAAACAGATTCTTAATTTATTAGCTATAATATTTATGAAGAATGTATTCTTTTTTGTTTCCCATGTAATGCAGAAGATAATGAAATATATAAAACCTAATCATTTACTGACGCTGCTGTTATTGGGCAGTTGGATATTAATGCTGGGACTTGCTACCGCTTCAGGTGATCATGGTGATCCGTTGGAAGATGTAGACAATGTGCCGCATATGCGCAGCAAACGGGGCATCGTTTGGGATTTCTTGCAGAAAATGGTCATAACAAAGAATCTTATTGTTGATGTAAGTATGATAAAGCAAAAATCGTATAAACATTCTACGACATTGTTGATTTCATCTTATTGTCTTGCAGCAATACACAGATACTCGGAATACTCTTAATGATATCTACAATACTGTGAATGAGCAATTTAAAGACCCGGCGCCAGCGAAACCTACAAGTCAGCCAAGGCCAACAACGGAAAAACTGGTAAGGCATTCCTTCTGTAAATGTATCTACCTATCTATCATGCAAAAAAAGGCTATAAAATATATATTCTACAATATATCCTTACACCGATCTCTTCAAAAGCAAAAAAAACTCTTTACAATGTCGCGGAAGACACCTAAAAAAAACGTTTTGCCTTACAAAAACTCATTTTTCGACCGATTCTTTCCAAAGAGCTATATAATATAGTATTGCCATCTTGATAACATTTTGTTGATATATAAACAACATAGTTAAATGCCACATTTGGTCAAGATATCTGATACAGCAAAAAGTTGTATGATAATATTAAAAATTGTTGTGTGAGGAGCATAGTGAAACTACGAGTTTGCTCCAAATATCTTTAATAATCAACTTAACAAAGGACGGCATAGATCAGACCGCTAGGCGGCCAGCGAATATCCCCAATAAGTCCTTAGGTCTATGAATGTGAAAGTAGTCAGCCGAAACTGCCTCTATGGTCCCCAAAGTTTGTGGAACCAGCTCAGTCCTCTGGTCAGAACTCATACCCTAAAAGAAAACTTCCAGCAAGGCTTCGTAAAGCTGCGGACTGGTACAGCAGATGACACAAAGTCCATACGTACAAGCACATTCTTACTTATACTTAGGCAGAATCTAAAGTCTGGCCGACTGCTGGCTAACATGACGAATAATCCGATAAGAGACACGTCCATTCTTTCTCGTTTCCCACTTCCCAGCCAGGCAGAGCACACTCACTCAACGATCTCTTGCCCTTACTGAGCCGTATACTCCCCATGTGCGGCACACAGGCGGCACCTAGCAATATCACCCTTTGGCAAGCCAGCACTTTCTTTCTGCCAACAACAGTCGTAACCGCATTACACCACTCAGACGATCCATATGCTGCACAAGCAGACCACCATGAATGGAGCGGACAGCACGTCTGCTTAGGCCCCAGCAACTTTTCTATTTTCACTCAGTCGCAATTTCACCTCAGTCGCATACTTCACATTTTCACCGTTCAATCTGATAATGGGTGGTCAACCAGGTGCCAATCAGCCCTTGAGCAGCATTAACGCGGTCTTGTCCATTACCAGACCGACCTCAACACTTTCGCCCACTCATATAGAATGCGTTAAAACATACCCGCATTCGTCTCAATCTCAAGAAGCGACCGACCATTGATCAAGAGAAGCATGTCATCGTCATACGCACAACACTTATCTATTCGTTTGACGTATCCTGAACTGACCATCCTCCCTGGAGAAGAACTCATACAGCAAAACATTCGTTACCAACACTGGTTTTCCTGCCACTACCTCTAACTATTCTATGAGCACAATCCCAGTGTTGTCCCCCTTTGCGCTTAATGAAATATCGCCACTCAAACGTTTTCAAACTAACAAGCATTTGCTTACACTCACTTATACATCGACTATATTCGAGCCTGAGTTGGGCTGCACCCTCAGCATTGGTAGCTCTGGCCCTTGGGAAACGCTTCCGCAGTGTTGCTTACTAAGCAATGACAGAAATCAGGCAATAAAACAATTCCGTTTAATGCGCGTAGCTAGCCCAGATAACACGTCTGTTCGTCACTAGTTCTAACAACGAACTGAGATGAAACGACAGACAGGCATGACTAGATCAACTTCGCTATTTATGCAGCGTAAAGATATATATTTACATATGTATGTATATAAATATACGTATATACTTAATGTTAATGTTAACCTATTTTCAAAGAGATCTGGGGAAATATATATGTACATAAAATATGTAAATAAATAAATAAGAAATTAAAAAAATACTCACTTTACATTTATTTTCAAATAAGCCCTAAAAAATTATTTTTTATTCGCTAGCAAAAACACTTTATTGGCATTCCTGTTGTTTTTATTGTTTTGCAGAATTCCAGTGATGAAGACAGTAACAGTGATCAGTCCACAACAACTACAGAGGGCTACAGTATTTCTCGCTATGAGTTGGGCCGTATTCTGGGGCGGAACTTCCGCGGTATACAACGTCTGGCCCAGACCGAGTTCAAAGAGGCCATTAATGTAAATAATCTTAATATATTGCTTATAAGTTCCTCTTTTGATCACTTTATACCCTTCCATTGATACAGGCAACTCACTATAATCTAAGAGAATACAAACAGGAAGCGGACAAACAGTTTGCGAACAGCTTGGGCGTTGAGAAAAAAAACAAGCTGAAAAGTCTGAAGGGCTTAGCTTAGCCAAAAGTACTTACTGGTCTGACGTTCCACAGAACGCGTTGAGTGCCCAATTGTATTCGTCGCAATGTATGACGGTCCTAGCTTTTTAAATGAGTTACCTATGTACAGATGTAACGGTTGTTATTTTTATTATTACTTATTGATGGTTTATATACATATAAATACAATGAATTTTTACATAAGACATGACAACAACAATATTCAAGCGTGAGACCTAAAACAGACCCTTTTTGTTCAGTTGTATAATGGCTGGATCACTCAGACAATGTTTCTACATAGAACGTGGATATGCATGTGTACATGTATATATACATATATGATATGTAAAATGTTCTGTAAGTTGAATCATAGCCATTTAGAGTGTTTGTTTTTAGATATAGATATTTATTTTATAGTATCAAATAAATTACTTGGGTTTGGAAGTTTTTAGCTTTTTAGCATTGTCGGTTATTATTCGGGACTTAGCTTAACATGATTTACTGTCTGTTAAGACAAAACGGAGCCCAATGGCCTGTGATAAATAGAATATTCGATTTTTCCCTTTTCAGCCCGAACTTCATATCTAAAATTAAATTATACATAGATGTTTGAAAATGAGTTTGCAGTCTATAATGTCTATAATGTTTTCTATGTATAGAGATCATAGAATTACCTGTAGTAGAATTACAGATGTTGTTGAAAATCCAATGGATTGCTAAATTCTACTTCCAGTGTCAAATGCTGGAGCCACGCATTTCTTATGCCCGCATGCGCAGACAGCACGAGAGTAACACAGCAAGATTGCGGTAGAACGGCATTGTTGCCGGTTTTTTTATTTGGTCACACTTCAGGAAACGGCTTTGGCTTACTCTCAGTGTTTAAATGAATGTTTAAATCTCGCATCCGAATAAAAACGAAGTCGAAAGGGGACGCGAACTAAAGAATATGAATGGTTACATACATTTGTTCTAGCTGGCCCATCTATATGTTGTATGACTAGTGATGACATACATGAAGTGCATGTTAAAATTGAATTCAAAAAATTTCCATCCGTTATTTCAGAAAATTGTGGGAACAACTTTTTGCTTACCATTCGATGGGCTTCAAATTCAATATTGCATAAAAAGGTTATAACGTTTTTGTGGAAATGTATGTAAGAGGCTGAAGGAAGCTTCTCTGACCCCTAGAAGATTGTGTGTTCCACATGATTTATGTCAACAGTTGTCGGCAATCAGAATCTTGCTCAAGCTCGAACAGCATTCGCTTGGTTGCCAAGACTTGTGCCAGCTGCAGATGCTTGCGGCTGCGGGCTGAATTGAAACTTTACAGACCTTACAACGACTGCACTGTGGGCGCGGTGTCCATTATTTTGCTATAAAGTAAAAGTTTTCTTCAAAATATATATTTGTTTTAGGGCTGGTTTTGGCGACCTTCCCATATTTTAAATATTTTTTTAGCTGGCTCGAGGTTATTTTAACTTAATATTCTGAAAGCACATTATGCCAGTGCAATTGATTCGAATTTAAAAAAACAACCCCATGTCTCGTGGACTAAAAGCTTATTTTCTGCCAACTTGTGCCAACAATTTAATTTTTGTGATTCAAGTTAAATCCATCATTTTAAACGTATTATTGAAGCATTAAAGCCTTATTTGCCAAATCTCCAATTCTTTTAGATAAGTATTTATAGCGATGTTAGTTTTCAGTCATACAACCCTGCTCCAGGTTTGGCTATATAACAATCGAACCTGCAAAAAATCCGACAGAACTGTATCCACTCTCGTCCATTATGACGATTAAGCTGCAAAAGCAACTATATAACGATAAAAGACCTCGGCTAAAAGAAGAGTCGGTAGCCGAACACCAATGCAGCTACGATATTGGCAAAAAGGAAAATGCGATGTAAAAGATGCTGCATTTGTCTTAGAGAAATCTTGAATCTTGCTTTCTCGTTTTTAATGTAAGATACATTATTATAAAATGAGTGAAGCAAGTAAATTACATTTAAGTATCAGTTGCCCATTCCCATTAACCCATGCCCATAAGCCCATTGAGAATATAAACAAAATTTAAGCCGTTTAGTAAATAATTAAGAAAATGTAGAAAATGTAGTAGGATTATTTTTTTGCAGGTGAAAATATTTGCTCAATTTCCAGAAATTACTGACGTCAGGTAAGTTCTAAGTAATGAATTCGCCAGAGCAAAAGAGCAAATGCAATATAAGAATTTATTTAAAAAAAACTGGTAACTGTGACCACTGTGGACTGTAGACAGCGAATAAAGTCGGTGGGCTGACGGTCTGTGACAATGTTTAGGGTCAGACGGTGCAAAAAGTGGACAGATTCTCGACACGCACAGTTCCCCAGCCACTGGCTTTGTCGATGCAAAAGACGCAACCTGGCACTCATTATCGGCGCCAAAGTTTTTGGCCAACGTACTTTCAAGACAGGCATCTCATGGGCATCGAATTATGACACTTTTAGTGGTTTTTGCTAACTATGCGAGTTTCCTTTTACCATTTGGGACTGCCACTGACTGCCTTCGTGTTTTCATTTTAACTCTGCTCTTTGGATTTGTTTGAAACTTTACTTCGATTTCAGTAAAGAGCAAGACACAGGAGGATATACCATTATATAATATATATAGTATATATAATACGCACATGTTTAAACATACAAAAACGCAATGCTTATGTGTGTGTGTTTTTGCGTGCTTATATTGGTTCCTTTTGCCTATTGCTGCAAATGTGTTTAACAGAAATAAGCACTTCCAATCAGGAAAATATCTCTAACGTTGTCCTGGAGGACTATACGCGCTCACAAATATTAAAATCTGACATTATACTTTCGTTTCAATTAATTTTGCACTACAATGCTGCCATGTGTATGCTTTGCCGTTGACATTAGATCGCTAAGGTGATTTGTGAGCACCATCATAATCAGAAAGGCTGGCTTCGAGTTCGAGAAGAATATACAACGATTTCCTATTTTGAATACGTGTATCATTTAATTTTAATTTTTTCCATAGTTCAGAATGTTATAAAAAATAAGTTGGACGCCTTTAGTGTGGAGTACCCAATCACCAGCTACCAGCAAGCCCGCCGTTTCTTTCACAAAGCAACCTATGTAAATCCTTGCTTAATCGACGTATTCATGCTGTATTCATAATATAACACCCTGAATTTCCTCTCAGTTGATTATGTTCCCAACTCAAGTCCTTCGATTCAGGGCCATCCTGGCTTATAATTTTGTAAGCTTGAAGCGTAAATCTTCAATTTCTCTCGGGATGGATAAAGCTCGGCCAATCAATTGCATCGAAATTGTTCAAAATGTATGCTTATGACCTTCAATCGTACTACACCTTATCTTGCCAGTTATACAATCGACAATTCTCGATTGTAACGTATACAAAAAGTAAAAGATCCAAGCGTTCTTTTTATACCCTGAACCCATTGAAAATAGGTAATTTATCTTAATTACTTCAAATGAGCGCGTTGCGCGAACTGCAATTGGTGTTGGAATAAGAGGGTATTCCCTAGTCGGGACCTTAGGATCTAATAAAATATTGTATTGGAATGAATGGTAAATGGCATTTATCTCTGCACATGATATAGGATATCCAATAATTAAAAGTTTTCACATAAATTTCATGTACTTTTAATTCGATGCACAATAAATATAACAAGTAAGAATTCTGACTAGAGAGTAATCTAGTCAACCAACAAAATATACAGCTCCCGCTAGGTGCTCGCTTGCCCTTCACAGTTTTTTGTACATATTAAATAAGTGTATAAGCCTTATTAAAAAGAGTTTCCTCAGCCGGTGTCGAACTCGCAACCACCTTCAACAAAGCGAACAGCTTGCCATCGCCCCATAACTAGCGGGCATAAAATGCAGCACGTACAAACAGTACAGCATACAATATATATATGAAATTTTCATTCTATTTATAAAATGGAAAAAAAAACAAGCTTATTAGTGTGCACATGTATGCCTTAAATTCTTACGCACTGCGCTAGTCGCCACGTGAAAATTTTCTGGATTATATCTTATTGTGTCATAGAATATTCATATATTCGCAAAAAATACAACAGATTTTATCAATTAGATTTTGTGTGAAGTTGGTGGCGGAGGAGATGCGGTATCTAAGAAAGTAAATATTTTTATATGGCATACAAGAAGCTAAATCCTAATTTGGTTTCTTGAAACATGATAAAATAACATTTAAAGCAATATATCGATGATCGGAAACAATTGATGTTGACCAAGAATATATTGATATGTATATATATTATATATATTTATATTATATATATTTATATATATGTATATATATATTAATAAGTAAAGACACTTCCACCTTTCTGTTACATACAATTGTATAAATCTATCATAGCCTATTTACCCATTTTTAATTGGTATAGATTATAAAAACTTGCTAACCAGGAAATTTGATCGCTTTTTCAGATTTTTTACAGATTTTAGGTCTGATGAATTTTTAACTATTGTTGATTTATATCATCAAAATATAAGTATTATATGCTCGTTAGATCGTAGAGTAAATGGTCGGCATTGTGCGAATTGCTTATAATTGCTGTAATTAGTCCGCATACAATTGCGCAAACATATTTACGTTCAATTTGTGTAGGGTAAAACTAATTAAAGGCTGGCAGCATCAAGTTACCCAAATGAAGTCAGCAACCGTTATCATAAAAAATCTGTAAAAACAACAAATTTGTACTTTACTCATTAAAGTGGTGTTTCGAATTTAGAATATGTGAACACGAAACCCACTAGTTTCAAAAAGGGCAGCCAGATATATGCTTATGTATGTACGAGGCAGAAGGAAGAATTTGTATGATTATTGTGAGTTCCAAAGTATTCTAGAGCATATCAGACTGGGTACAGACTATCGCCAGCTGTTCTCCTGGTTCCTTAGGTTTGTCGTCAGCACATCGAAGTCTGTACTCAATTGTTTGAATTTTTCCATATCAGATTTCTAAGAAACTTAATTAAGAATCAACAAAACATCCCATACATATGAATATGAATCCATAAACAAAATTATACAAGAGTGCGTGCATAGCCGGCCCAAAAAGTTTCCATGCACACATGCCAACGGTTAGGGTACTTAAGCCAACAATTATGAGGTAAAATGCAAGAATTTCGCATCGACGTGGCGAACCCTTTCATTGTTTCCTATTACTCGTCCTTTCAAAAGAGAAGAAATGCCTAAGTTTCCTGTAGTGTGAGCGAAAAAAAAAACAGCGCTGCCGTTCTATCACACAAATCATATGGTTTTCTTACTCTCTTGCTCTCTGAGCAAGTGAACGAGTCTCGGATCCGAGCAAAAACGAAGTCGACTTGGACCAGAACTCCAAAAATGAACGGCTACAAATTTTTCTATTAGCTGTTCCATATAGTTAGTGGTATTACGCACTATAACATAATTACACCGCACTGTTGATTAATTGCTTAAAGTTACTTTAATGTTGCGTCAAAATCAGAGGTTCAGCACTTTTATTGTGATAATTGAGCCGACCGATATTAAGAAATCTCGTACACGTACTCTGGACATACGTACATATACATGTAAGCACAAATAAAACTTTGTATGTAATTCAGACCGGAGACAATGACATACAAAATAGTTTTTCAATGAATACTAACTAAAAGCGAAGCACGCTATGAACAGCGAAATAGCAAATGACACATAGTAAAAAGCAAATATGATTATAAATTAGTCAAGCTCGCTGGAATGAAATCACGAAAAACTAATTAACACTTCGAGTTATTGCTAAGTGAACGACATATTGAAGGCAAGGAAACACTTTATTTAGATACAACAAGCAAGCCCGTTGCAGTCAGGTAAAAGCGACGCTGTTCAATATTTACAAATATATTTATTGACATCTTTATTAAAAGCCAAGTGTACATACATACATCTGTCAGTATAAAACTGATTATCCTTACAGTTAGTGTGGAAAGATGGTTGATAGACACCAGAAGTTCTAATGGACATACATATGTACCTTATGTGCAGTATTCGGAAAATTCTTACCGCAAGCGTGGAATACGTTTCTATAGGACTTCTTCAATTATAATTCGAACGGCTTTATAATTTTTCTTAAAGATCGTTGCCAAATGTTATTTGGAGAACTTAACGGAACGTAAGTACGGTTATGCCATACTTCTGATACGTCAACAAAGCCGCATCAAATGAGGAACAATCGGTCGGAAATGAAGCGTTTTTAGTATTAAAGCAGTTCATTTCTGGTTTAGCTTTCAATCTAAAATTAGCAAGTGAGAGAGTACGCATTTCATTTCACACTGGCACGAAACACTAAATTTGCTTAATTTGATGTATTTGTTGGGCAAAAATATAAAAATGAAAAAGAATGCTAAAAAAAAAGTAAGCCAAAAAACACATAAGTCCTGTAAATGTGGGGCATGCGTTGCACAATATTTATCCAGCTAAAAAATAAAAAGAATAGTTCATTTTTGGAGTTAAGGAACTTGCTATTTTACAAATAAAACTCACCAACGGGTTGGGGACTGCCCGCAATGTCTGCTGGATAAGCTGGGGCAATAGGCGCTAGAGGCACACGCTCAGTTGGCGCATCGGGGATTCCAGTGATCGGGGACTTTGGCGTGGAGGCGTCGTCGGTGAGGCGATGTTTTAGCTCGTCATATTTCTGCGCAACTGAGCTACTAAATTCCTTGGCACCTTCACCAATCTTTTCAGCATAGGGCCTAGCCGCTTCGGCGACGTCCCCGGCACCCTGCTTCACCTTGCAGCCAAAGGTCTTAAAAAAGTTTTTAAAATCGCTGTCGTCTGGATTCTTGACCTCATCGCAATCGTTAGCGCGGCACTGACTACTCAACAGCACCAGACCCAGTAGCGAGCAAACTATGATAATAGCTTTCATGTTGCTGATTGTTTAACTATTCACTTCGAGCTTGTCAATGCGACTGAACGAAGCAAATTGACTCACAGTCGCACAATGCCAGAACCTCCGTAGCTTAGATTCGTGAGCCATACCGGTTTATTAGCGCTTCGTCGCGCTGATCTGCACTTGCCCCGCTCTCTGTCGCATCTTCATTCAAACACGAAAAAATTAAACCGACAGCGTAAGACAAAAAAGCTTTATTTACATTCAATGCGAGCTAGAGCTTATCTTTTATATAGGTTCAAAAAGTCAATTCCATAACAGGTATGTATATAGGGTCGGCTATTGATGCTTATCAAGACTTTATTTTTACAAAACATACATTTAATTAAATAAAATGAGTACTCTTAATGTAGATTCATTCGATTTACTTTAATTTAAATTAATTGAAAATTCGTCTCTTTTGATTTTTGTAATGGGCCCAATTTTAATGCGTTGCGTTAACCGAATGCGTAGTGCATATATTGGGGCTCGGAGACGTGTCTTTAGCATTAAAGTTCAGAAGGTCCTGGTCTCCCCAGAATTAAAGAAAAATAGCACACGGACGGGCAGGCAGACGAACGAACTTACTTTATGGAGTTAGAGATACCTTCATCTACCTATGATATACATTTCAACAAAACCATTATACCCGTCATACTAATTTTTAAGCGGTTCAGGTTCAGGTTCACAAAACTAAAAGGCTTAAAGCTTGCGGTGTATATGGTCCTTGTGTTTATTAAGGTAAACATTCGTATGAATTTGTTTGCATGTAAGGAAGTTCAAGTGCTTGTTACGACAGCTTGCACTGAGTACGCGGTATCTCCATGTCGATATCCCCATGTCGATGACTCGACAAGAGATCTCTTTCTGATTTATTTCACATTTGTAAAAAGTTATTGTTTTCAATTAGTGATTCATACTCTATGGCATCTAAGACTACAAGTACATTGCATCATCGTAATCTAATGCTAGATAAATGCATATATAAATTCGCTGGCCGGCTTACTTAAGCAACTCTATATTGATAATCTCATTCTCCTCCTCATTGGGAGCGGGGCTACTTAATGGCGGCTCTTCGGAATGCGTCACCTGAGCAAGCTCTACATTTATCGGCGCAGTAACGTTGGGGTCTGTGTTTTCACTAAGCGTCATCGGGGTCGTGGCTTGCGTGGCATCAACTCCTGCGCTGGGAGGCCTATTGGCAACAGCGCCAAGCAGCGTGTCTATAAGATTACCAAATCGGTGCACAATGCTCAAGCCAACGCGTTTGGCGGTTTCTTCTAGGCGCTTTGCCTCTGTCTCCAAATCTTCTATCCAGGGCTTAGCTTTCTCCAGTGTACACTGCACATTATGCAGAAACTGATTTACCTCGCTTGGCCTGGGCGTCGCCCCACTGTCCTCGCTTGTCTTGACACTTGCCTGGCCATCCGCTCCACAGATGATGGGTGCCGCTTGCAATTGCCCAATGCATAGCAAAAGCATTGGTAGCATTAGTATATGAGCCATCATCATATCCGTCCTTTAGCTTATGTTGTGGTCCCAAAAATTGGCTTAGTACGTTTTCCTTTACCTAAGTCTTCACTTTAACAGTTTCGTTTGCTGTATACATTAAATAGGCGTGTGCAGCGACTGAGGCTGAAAACCTGACTGAAACAAGTTTGCTGCCAACTGCAAAGGCATGACCGCTCCACCAAGCTTGGATTTCAACTGCAGATGGGTTACAGAGCGCTCGCCAACGAGCTCTTTAAGAAAGTCGTCAAGCGAGTAAGCCGCCAGCAAAACGTATTCCCCAATCAAAACAAATAAGAACGTAAAGGACGGGTGCGGCCGACAGTTCATTACTCTGTTCACAGTGTAGAAAACTGCCCTGAGAGCATTCTTGATTAAAGGTTTGGCGACCCTAATAATTATAGCTCCCTCTAGGGTTTCACCTTTACCACATCTAACCACACAGTCGTAATTATTATTTTTTACAATTTAAATAAATAAAACAATGCAATTTATGAGTCTTAACTTATTTTCATAACGATTTTCACTGATCTTTCAACAGTTCAACAGTAGGAGGGGCAGGAGGAGTAGGAGGACATATAATTTTTGTGACTGGCCGTTTCTATTTACGAACTTTAAAGCTGGCGGATATTTGGTTCTTGCATACGGGCGTATATTGTACTGAACCAAAATACCCGTTTTAGCTTTATGAAAAGGGTATACAAAGGGAAGGGAACAATGCACTTAAGACACACTAATTTTGTTTACACAAAGTCGACCTCATTGTCAATCGATTGGACCGACGAAAAATTCTGAAAAATAATAGATCGACAAGCAGCCGTAAATGATAAAACAGCGATCATCTTATTTAAAGCATATGTAGATAGAATCTAAGCAAATCGAATGGTGCATGCAAAATGAACAACTTGATTATATGCAATTGTTAACATGCAAGGCTATGTATTATGCTTACTCATGGAGTCAAGCTTAAGTTTAGTTAGAATCTTAGTTTATGGAGTACTAGCGCATATTAACCGGCTTTGCCCGTGTATATACATATATATAACTTGTTCACCCATCACCCTCCCGTGGAAATCTACCTAATATATATTAAGAACAATGGACATTCCAGATCTAAAGCTGTGGAATATATCAGTTTTCCCGGTTTGCCATGACTCAATATTAACTTTTGGAATTTATATAAAATGTTGGGTACATTTGATATTGCTGTTGTTAAAATAGCAGTTTGTTTTATTTACAAAGCAGATTAACGAAATAATAAAGACAAAAAAAAAAAGGTTTACATTTAAACTCAGCTGCATTACTTCCTTAGCTTGCTGCAGTTGCCCAAGGCATCCAGAATGTGCCCGTGTCCGCACTGTTGCTCACCTTTGAGAATGTCTGGATTGATGATCTCGACGTTGGCAAGAAAGCCGCGATCTTTGCTCATCTCCTCAGCGGAATCTTTGGCGAGCTTTTCGCGAAAATCTCCGAATCGCTCCTTAATATCGGTGCCCAGATCCTTTGCACGCTCTCCCAGTTTCTTGGCACCCTCCTTAATTTCAGTACCTAAGTCCTTTGCCTTCTCCCCAAGCTTTTTTGCGCCATTCTTTAGCTGACATCCGACGTTCTTAAAGAAGTCGCTTACTTCGTGCTCGGAACTGCTGCTACTGCCAGTTATCTCCGAAATTTTTTCGCCCATTTCAGTGAGCACAGCAGGCACTTTCTCCTCACAGTCAAGCAGATCTGCATGGCTATAGGAAAGTCCAAGCAATAGCACTGACAATAACCAAATTCCACGTATCTGTCGCATGCTTATTTACGTATATTATGTAGCTATGTGTATATGTATGTATGTAGAATATATAAGACTCTGTATTCCAGTTGTTGCTCTTGTCGATTAGTTCCTGAGGTGCCGGTAAGATAGTTGGCTTCCAAACTGAACCTGACCGTAGACTTCGGTTGACTGGCTTCGAGCGAGGACTGTCCAAGCGTTTTATTCACCCCCTTGATACAGCCATAAAGGCCACAACAACAACAACAATAACAGCAGCCAAATAACAAGGCAGCCCCGTTATTTTTCAAAAATTGTCGCCTTTTGTTTGATTGTTGTCTTGATGCCTTCGCCTTTCCGCTTTATTCAATTTATGTCGAACTCAATGCTGATAGTTACGCAGTCGCTTGTTCGCTTTTCTTAATACATAAGTTCAAATTCAATTACGGGTTCAACAACAACAACAACAACAACAACAACAACAGCAACAACAACAACAGCAGCAACCGTAATAACGACAATGACGAGACTTCCCACTTTGCCGTTGATTCTGAGCTGCGCTTTTCGCGCTAATTCCAAGTTTCCAAATATGCATAGGCATAGCGCATACCCAGTGTATTGGTTGCCTCGGATTTGACCATTGTTTTAGTGCGAGTCGAGGCAGTGAGTTATGCTTGATAAGGCAGTGATACAGACCTATGTATGTAGAGCATCTTAAATTCGTACACTATATGTATGCGTATGTATGTATGCATGTACGTACATGCATACCTATGTTTGTGTGAATATACATAGCTAAAACACTGGAATACTCACTCTCTATACATAAATGTATATACTCCCTAATCTGAGCATAGCGGCTAAATTGAGTCGGATTTGTTTTTGTAAATACTTAAGCTCGTTAAAATAACAGAAACAATCTAAGGTCTACAAACAAATATTTATTTTTTTACCCTCTCTTTTTATATGTGGTTCACTTGCCAGTTATCGTAGGTATCTAGCAATAAACAAAATTTAAGTAATATGCATCGACTCTTTGAAGATTGAACATTAAAGTAAAGTAACGAGTATGAATAAACGAAAATCAAACATTTTTAAAAGTAAGACAATATTTTAATTTTAAAAGTTTATTTAAACAATCACTTTCGTTAAATCCTTTTTAAACATCGAATCGATTAAAAAAAGGTGTGCTTTGGTTGTAATATATGTACATTAAGATTCCATATTTAATCCGTGAAATGTCCATAATAAACAGTAGGGGTTGGGAGAAAAAGAAGCGCAGACACAGTTGACTCATAAGTTCAGCATACATTGAAGATATATAGGATCCCCAGATTTGACATTTAGACTTGCAAATTATATATGTATTTCCCAATTGACTTGCGGTGACAGTATTAGAGTGACAAAGGCAGTAAGCAAGCTGACTATTTATGACAAACCCAAGCTGTGATTACATTGACATGCATCCGAGTGTAAGTCATATTTTGAAGAAATAGCAATTTCTGCAGTTTTTAATTCTTATTTATTTATAAAATATGCTAAGTTACATTGAACGTAAATGAAAACTCTGAGTTCAATCGGGAATACCTTCAATCGCAGTAGTTACCATAAATGATGGAAGTACACGCTAAGACAAGGTTTCCGGAGTATGGACAATCGCGGAATACAGTTGTATACGTATAACTCTTTGTGGGATATGGGACCCCGATTTGGCGAAGTTTCAAGTTTCGCCCGGTCAGCTGCAAGCTTAACAAGTTCTTAGTAAATCATAATATACCCATGTCTGTCTGTCTGTTTCTATGCAAACAAGCATCTCATAAAAATTAACTTCTTGTATGGCAGATTTGTTTAAATCCTACAAAATATTTCTATACAGCAATTTAAAGCTTCACCATTCTCCTCACATACCAGCAAAACCGAAAGCTAAATGTCTACAAATGTATTTAATCTTCTTACCTGCTTATGAATATTTCGATCCATTTGTATACCCTTGTAGTCTGTCTGTCCGTCCGTCCGAGTTAAAGACTTGAAATTGAACGTAGGTCCTCCCAGTGCCCGCGCACTACGAGCTTGTGCCCGACAATCGTTAACTTAACCCGTTTCAAGAAATCGATATAAATCGATAGCAAAATTCTTTTTTTTAAGCAAACCTCGAAAACTTTATGAGCTACTGTCTCCAAATTTGAATAGTACTTATATACAGGTGAAGTATGTTTCATTTAATAGTTATCGCCGGACACTGCCTCCGACTCATACCTATAATCCAAAGAAGCCGATCTTACCCGTTTCGACACATAAACTGAAAGACGGACCTATGCAAAGCTTCATGAAGATTGTTTTTAAGCTGGGAGACTAGCTCTGCAAAGAAACAAACCGACGGACATCTTCGGGTATATCGAATTTTCATACATATATTTATTTTCAAACATACATACATATAATTTATTTTTGACTGAAAGTTTGAACTTTAAATGGGAACTGGTAAGCGTATTCTGTTTGGAGCGGTTAAAAATAGTTTTATTTAGTCAAATCATTGCCGCCAATGCTACCACCAAGATTAAAGTAATCTGCAGCATCTGGGTTCTTCTCGGCATCGGCATCCGTGCTGCCAGCAATGTCCTCGTTGTCTTCTTCATCGTCCCCCTCAAAATCGTAAGTGTCATCGAACCCCAGCGCATAATCCTTTTCCTCTGATGGCACCGTTGTTTCAGGTAATTCCTGAGGCAACTCTGGCAAAAGGGGCAGCTCAGTGCTGGAAGTGGCAATAGTACTGGTGGTGCCAATAGTAGTAGTGGCTTTTGTTGTAGTTGTTGTTGGCGAGCTGTGGCTGTCCGTGATTATATTTGGTGTACTAGAAAATTTAGTGCCTGCAATGAAAATGAAATGAAAACAGTTAAATGACGGAATGCCCAATACTGCATTCTTCACTACTTACACTCAGGCAATGTGGGCTCAAAGTCGCATCTTATGCGCAGGTCCATATCCTTATCAGTTAGCCGTCTGACCTCCCTTGGGCGAGGCGTGGGGCGACGCACAACGTAAACTTCACGCACCTCATATATTTCCAGTTCGGGATGGTTTGGAGATGGACGGCGCCGAAGGAAACGCTTGTAGTGGACAGGATTAGCAGGTACGTCGGCCGGATATGGCGCCGACTCCACAAGCACGCCACAAATGCAGAGCATCGCCGCGAGCATTATACTCAGGACATATAATAGCTTTTCCATCGCTGCGCTATGTAAAAGACTGATCTAGTGCTTCCCAATCGCCGCTTTAGCAGGTCGGGTACTCATTATCACAATTTACGCAGTCCAATGCCTGATAACCTATTGACCTAGCTTGTCTGCAGATGAGCTAGTCTCTTTGAAGGCACTGCATACTTTAGGGTGGCCACTGCTAATAATACTGCGTGACAGCAAAAAAGCGGTAATAAAAGCTTATTTTTATAGATGTACACGTTCAAATTGGGTAAAAAGGGGTATATTCATTTTGGGTAAATTTTTGTGACAGGTAAAGGGAGCCATATCCGTCCCTATAAAATAAATAGTATATTCTTAATCAGCATCAATAGCCGAGTCGATCTAGCCATGTCCGTCTGTCTGTCTTTCCATCCGTATGTGTGAACGCAAGGATCTCAGAACCTATAAGATCCAGAGACAGGAGAACTTTAAACATAGGTCCTCTAAATGCCCGCGCAGTTCGAGTTTATTTTCGATAATCGATTTAATGCACCTTTTCTAAGCAAACGATAAGTCTCGATATTGCAATCCTGCTTTAAGCAAATCAAAATTTGATATATACATAGCTTCTACGATAGTATACACAGATCAAGTATGTTTCATTTAATAGCCTCCGACTCATACCTATAAACCAAATAAATAATTCAATTGAAACTACCCAACAAATTGCAAATTGCATATACATACATACATATGTATATATATACACACTCACTTTCATGCGCGTCTTTATTTAATTCTATAAACAACATTGCAATTGCGATTGTATTGTGTTGCTGCAAGTGCTACTATTTTAATTAAATTTTTGCTTTCGTTAAAAATTGATTGTAAGCAAGTAAATCGGTTACGGTCCAATGGAGGAAGTTTTTATTTTTTTCAAATTAGTTTTATTACTGCCAAAGGCTATCAGGTTCAGGTGTTCAGGTTATCCCCTCGTCGGGAACTCCCGGCTAAAGCCTTTTACTTTTTTCATATCTTAACCTTTATTAAAAGACTACCGCAGTCCCTATAATATAATAATGTAGAAACTAGTCTCTGTTCTGTAGTTGTGCTAGTGTTAATCGGCGAACGGTAACGCGATAGGCCCTCACACAAGATTACTTATAAACTTCCTATGTATTGCAGCTCTTTAGGCATTTCGTTTCCGAATGGTAATGCAATGCCGATCGTTTATAACGAAAAAGGGTATGTTGGAGTGGGCGTGGCATGAATATTTCAATTAGATCAGCTGTAATATATGTATTTACCAAACTGATATATTATCACTTGCTCGAAAACTGTAGAGAATATAGCATTTCGAGCGGTAACTGGTATTTGGTGGATGTAACCAACTAATGAAAACACTATGACGTGCATGTCTGTATATAGTCTATACTTTTGTATATTTTAGAGGCTCTAGCTTTCAAAGTATGGAAAAAAATGTTTTCACATGGATTGGCAGCAAGGTGGACAATGTAAGCTTTTTCGCTTTATTAACAGAATATAAAAAGCTTTTTGTTGAAAACAGCTGCCCCAAGTTGCCATCGTGAGAGCGTAATACACATACATACATACATACATATGTATATAAAGATGCTGCAGCATTAATGGTACATGTTTGCGGTTCTTTTGGCCCCATTTCGATCACAACGCCGAACAGTTGGTGACGGCCTTCGCTGGCGGGCAGACGCGCATAAGTAGCTAAGCAGCTGATCGCACAGAAGTGAAAGAGAAGGCAACATAGAGAGAGAGAGAGAGAGAGCGCGACAGCACTAGAAAAAGCGATTAACAGTCTGAGAGCGTGAGTGCACGAAACGGTAGATGTGAGTGTACATTAGAGCGAGACGGTGAGATCTGGCATTGTGAAAAATATTAATGCACAAATTGAATGAAACTGAAGGTGCATCAAATAATTGTTGTGTTGCCATTGTTGTTGTTATTGTTTAAAGTGGCACATTTAAATGTCACGGGAAGGAAAGCGGTAGTGGCAGAAAATGCTCACTAAAAATATACGCCAAGACTAAAAGCACAAAAATGAAAGCACCCAAAAACGCTACGCGTGGGTAGAAGAAAAACGTCTTTGACTGTATACATAAACACATACATATGTATGTACATATAAAATGTACGTACATATTAATGTAAGCATATGAACGAACAATCATATACATATGTAGATATATAATATAATGCATATAGTATAATTGCTAGCATAGTTGAGATAAACAATAAATTGGCTGTGCGCCAGGACGCAGGGAGAGCAGGAAATCGAAGACAGAGCGCGCTGATATTGCTGGTTCAGCCTCGCCAACAGACAGCAAACAGGTGGAAGCATCAACAACATCATCTAATGTGCAGTAGCTGTCACCGGTGCTTTAGCCAAGAGCAATGTCAAAGCAGCCACATCAGCAACAGCATTCGGAATCCACCTCCGATTATGAGGACCAAGAGCGGTACGATCCCCTGACAAATCTGCTACGCCTGCAACTCCGTAAGCCAAACCACTGGAACTGGGAGTTGAGCACTTCGCGTAGCTGCAATAATATTGCATTGCCCAGAATTCTGCTGTATGATAACACGGGCGCGCTTCTGCTGGATGCGGATGGGTTTAGCGAGCAAACATATCGGCCTATCAGCGTTCCAGATGGTAGGCGAAAGCTTTCGACGGCCAGTCATAACCAAAGGCTCCAACAGGCGCGACTTCCCGGCGACTTCAATGGCCTGTGTATTGGTGAGGCGGCTCCAAGCGATACACCCACACCCGTATTCCCATTTAGGAGGCAGCAGATTGCAGGAAGCTGTATTGACCTAAGTACCCATGAGTTGCCCAATTGGCAGCCGCACGAAATGAATAGTTCACGTCGCTCGAGCTCGCTGCGCGGTGCTCGGCTTGAGATTCAGGATCACCGGCTAGACCAGCCACAGCAGCTTACACAGAAATCGACATATCCCACGCCGCCATCCACTTCGACGATGACCACGACAGCGAATTCGTCGTCGTCGGGACCACGTGAGAAGCGTCGTTATCGACGCTCTCACAGCTCTGGCCAGCGTTCAATACTGGAACGGTTTAGCATGACGCGCGGTCGCCACTCCTCGCCAGAGTATATCCAGGAACAGGTATTGGAGCATAAGCCGCGTTACTATCTGTGCAGCAGTAAGGCCGGCACACTTGTAATCCAGGATGAGAGCTTCAATCGAGTGCGGCAGCGCCGCCGTCGGCAGAGGAATTCCTCCACCGAGAACGTATTGGTGCAACAGAATAGAAGCCCCGCAAATAGTGTCGTGCAGGTCACGTCGCCCAAGCGTCACCAGCAACAGCTGCGCTGCCGGGAGGCGCTGCTTCTAACCTCAGACGAAGAAACACAAGCCCAGAGCCAAAGACAATCAATGAGGCATTCGCGATGCCGGCAAGCTAAAAGAATTTCCGGCAACGATGGGACAAGTCAAGGTGAGAAATGCATTACATACATTACATTCTCTTCTTAATATAAAATCCTCTTCACCTCGTCTATTTCTTAGATATTATCACAGTCGACACGGGAAACTGTATGCACCAAGCTGTGCCTTGTGCTACGCGACGATGACGTCATCAATGTACGTCCTTATATACAAAAATATACAAAGATCGCGTGTTCTCTGCTCAACGGCAGTTTTTTCTTGCCTTGGTTTCTAAAGCCATCTCTGTGTAAATTAACACAAATCTAAGAACATACAAATAAAAACAAGTAAGAGGTTCTAGTCGGGAGCTCCCGACTAAGGGATACCCTGAACCCTCTTCTTCCAACATCAAATGCATATATATATTCTATTTTAGAAGCTATATGTCAAGTTTGGTGACTCTAGCTCTTATTATTTACCAAAATTGCCCAAAAAACAGGATATCGATATCGATTTTTATCGATTGCTTGGAAGCGGAGTAAGTTATCGATTATCGGAAACAAACTCGATTTGCGCGGGAACTAGGAGCACCTACGTATAAAATTTCACCTAGCTCTTATAGGTTCTGAGATCCTTGCGTTCATACATACGGACGGCCGGACGGTCGGACGGACGGACGGATGGAGGGACAGACAGACGGACATGGCTAGATCGACTCGGCTATTGATGCTGATTAGGAATATATATACTTTATGGGGTCGGAGATGCTTCCTTCTGCCTGTTACATACATTGGCATTTTGCACAAATACAATATACCCTTGTACCCATTTTTAATGGGTTCAGGGAATACAAATCATACAAACAAATCTGCCCTGAGTAGAATATTTATTTCTAATTACAAGTCTAACTCTGATATTATAGGCCTGGTAAAAAATGCATACTCTTTATGGGCTCGAATTTGTTTCCATCAGTTACTTATTTTACCTATTTCACATAATGTTCAATTGAAATGTATCCTTGTGGTCAGCAGGGGAGGTTTAGAGGGTTCATAGGCAAACAAATGTCGCCATCTCGGAGAGTATAAAAGCACTTAATGTGGAATGTAGGTTCCTGTATCCAGTATACTTTTGGCTTCGGATACCAACTTCAGTAAGAGGAAGAGCCATGCGATTTTTTTTATGTTTACATTTGGCTCGTCCGGACTACAGGCATCGGAGGATTTCTTAAATTCGTTGGGGGTGAGTATGTGTGTTTTTAGGATATCTATATGTGTATAAAAGAAAGTTCTCTGGGTATAGGGTATTTTCTAGTCACTAGTTGCAGAGAAGTTACAGAGAAGTGTACTGTCTGTTGCACACGACTGTTGTTGTACTAGATTCCCAATTGAATGGGGTATATTGGTTTTGTGCCATGTCCGTCTCTCTGATAATGATATACTCGTGTTTCTTTGCATTAAAATTAAAAAAGTAAAATAAGGCAATCAAAACTGTATGTAAATTTGAAATTTGTAAATAAGTTGCATATTTTTATGTTTTATAAACCAGCTGTTACTTTAATAGAACCTCCAAAATATAGTATATTTAAAATACCAATGTACGCAAAAATCGAATAAAATAATCGAATACTTATCGTGTCGGATACTTGTTGCGAGGTCGCGCAAAAATGAACGAGTTATGCAACGTCCCAAATGAGCTTTTCTAAATATCGCTAAAAAAAAAAAAAAATTATGCCTACAAGTGTTGGGAGCGTTGAAAATCGGAAAAATCTGTGTCTCTTTTATAATTTGGGCTCTTGTCTCTTTTATAATTTAGGCTGTTATTAAACTATCAAAGAGTTTTCCCACTTGCCCTTATATACTTAATATTTACTTCGGCCAAAGGTTGAATAAGGGTGTCGGGCCAAATGAATAACTCGATCCGCCCAAGAGTATGCAGTAATATTGAAATCATGAATTTCGCAATGTCATAAGCGACGGCGTACTTCTAGTCGAAATATTCAAAAAACAAGATCGTGGCAATCTGGTATACCTGACTGCGCAATACTCTGTTCACAATGAAAAAGGCTGCAATCAGTCGAACAAAGTTGTTCTGGTTATTTGGTGGTGACTTAACGTCATTCAATTCGTGATTTTGGAAATTATCGATTTCTGCAGTTTTAATAAAGCCGGGTGGTCGTGGCTGGGATGTATAGATTACCGCGGTGTGTAATATAAAGCATGTTAAGTAATAAGTCTACTTTAAAAGTGCCGAAACAAATTGCATTCAAATAGACGGACAGACAGACAGGCAGCACGATAGACTAGATGGGCAACCAATATTGACCTTTCATTTTGTGGACAGAGTATCGACATTGGTCTGAACTGTAAACAGATTGATAAGAGACCAAACTGTCCGAACGGAACTCGTGACGGGGATGGGCACAACCAGATTAAGCGTGAAAGCAACAGCGTCCATATCAAATCTTGATTCTCGGTGCGCACTAAACGGTGGTTAGACAACCTCGTGTTGGCTCCAAACGGAAAAGATGCTGATGTTGAGCTGTAGACTGTGGCCAAGGCTTCTGTTTTTGGGACTGTTTTCGGGACTGGTGATGTTATCCCTGCTGCAGAGCAGTGCCGCACGCGTTATTTATTATAATGTGCTCAACAGTAATCAGAGCATAGAGGCCGAAAATAACAACTCTATCAACGCCATCGGTAAGGGCATGTTGTTCGAAGTACGACGCCTCGAATGCAGGCGTGGCTTCATGCATGATCATCACAATCGCTGTCGCCGGGTAAGTGACAAACTGGAAGTAGTTAGCTTTAAGTGTTATGAATTGATTCGCACTGTTTTCCAGATTGTATAGCAACCTTTGGACTAAGGCTCGTTAACTTATCGATGTATCCAGAAGTCATTAACGATTAAGCATTATAATATTTCATAAAAACTACGTCACAAGACTGGAGCGAAGCGATATTTTCATGATGAAATCATGAGAAGTTTCACGAATAGCAAATGGCAAACGGCAGATACTTTACAGATACCGATTGAGACACGGTGACAGATACAGAATACACGAGCACAAGACACACATATTTTTAAGATAAAGGGACCATTAGGCACTGACTCAACCATCTATTTTTATATCGATAAAAACCCGCTTCGGTGGCGTTAGCTCGGTCACATTTTGCGGAATTTTGGGACGTGGTGCCACACCAGCTGGTCTGTGACGTAGCTAGCGACTTCCTAGGAAAGCCATGAGACAACAACAATAGCTGATTATTTTGTTTATCAACTCATGCTGCTAGCGTCTTTTTAGTGGGAACAGTTTGGTGAATAGCCACTTCAAATGTAAAAAACGTAACTGTCTGGCATGGTGATCCCCTTGGATTTCTGAATGATGGTAATGCAAATTCGCCCAGTCTGTATGTTGAATAGTTATACTGAAAATATATACATACATATATTAACAATTGCTGTAAATCACTTAATTCGCCGAAACCTGTACCCAGTGCCGAGCTGAATGAAGAAACATTCGATCATCCTCCAATATATATATATATATACAGAAACTGAAACTGGAATTCCTATTTGTTAGGTCCACACTATGGGAAACTTATTCTATAATAAATTCAGTGGTTACAGTCCAATCATTCTAAAAGGGCTTTTTTGGCTTCAATTTTGTTTTTTAAATTTTAAATTTCTATAAAGTCCGAAACCGACGGGTTCATACAGATGGCTAGGAACACAACTCTGGATTAATTCAACCTGTTGCCTGAATATTATAAAGTACACGTTTTTATGACCTCTTTAAAAACGTTTAAATCAGATTCAGCTGTAGCTGTCAATCATTGAATATTGGACCTTCATGTCATATCAAAGGTACATTTTTTGAAAATTTTAAAACAAGTCTCAAAAACAAGAGACGGACTGCAAAATCATAATATAGATACATTTTAAACAATTTGCCGGACAGTATGTGTTTAGCTACTATTGGACTGTGAACAAGTGCATTTACGCCCGGCTTCAACTTTCTTACTTCTTATAGCCTGTATAAATTGAGAATAAATACTATTTATAATGGATTTGCTCAAATGTATGTTACAAGTGGAAGGAGTCGAAGTCGAGTCGATCCAGTCATATCCGTATGCATGAACGCGTCGATCGAAGAACCGCCTCTCTTGAAACATTATGAACAGGACAAAAGCATGTGAGAAACCGACAGAGGCTTTACAGAATTCACCCCACGGTCTCCTCTATCGTTTATTTGGATAGATTTAAGAATAGCGAAAGTAATAATCGGAAGAATACAAAATCCCTTATTGAACAGCTAGGTTAAAATACTAAATAAAAATATACTAAATAAAAGTACCTTAAACAGGTAAGAAAGCTCTAATCAGTACTGCCCGACTACGGAATACCCAGAACCTCTTCTATGCAGCTTTCGTTCAGTATACACATCCCATATCCCCCAAAATGAAATAAACAAAACGTTATTACTTCGGTTATATATATAAATAAAGATTTAGTAGATGCCTCCAGTTGCCTGCTGCACACATTCGCACAAAACCAATATACCCGTTTTACTCATTTTCATGGCTAGAATGACTTAGCTATAGATGCTGACCAAAAATATAGTTACTATATGGGTTCGGAGATGGTTTCTTCTGCCTGTTACATACATATTCACAAAGCCATTAGACTCTGTTCATCCATTGACAAATAGATACATTGAACTACCATTCCCCACAAAATTTGAAAAAACTCATTTCATAAACCATTTGAAATCATTTCGGTTTCAAATTTATTTCATAAACACTATAAGCACTCTTCCATTTTCTAGCACAGCAAACTAGAATGTATTACTCGAGCATTCTCGAATAGAGCCTTCAACCAGGTTTTTCAATTCGAATATTCGAAATTTTAATGCAATTCTGATAAATAAAATATAATGATAATAATAGATAACATAATATAATAAATGCAAAAAAATAATTTGACTATTTATCTCTATATATAAAACTGATTGTCCTGAATGACCGATTGCTGATATACGCACGGCGCAAGTCGTAAGACCTATGCATCTAAATTTATGGGTTTAGTTACCTTGGAATTTCCGGCCGCATGTTTGGAAAAATTGCGAAATAGGATTGTTTGGAAAAGTTTTGTTTGAGTTCGTCCATTCGCCATTAAACTGAATGTGTGTTTCAGCGATTTTGGAAATTCTACCCGCAACTGTGGAAAATGCGCAAAAACAGTTGCATGCCCTTTTTTGTATACCATCGGATCGGCTTCAATCTCCTTTCAGAGTTTTTTGACATGTTTTTTTGATGACTCTTTGCAAATCAATCCCTTTTGAATGAAAAATTCAGATCAAAGGTTGAATGAATGAAAGTTTATTTTTCGATTTCAACTTTTACAACACTGGACTCCAAACTCATTTTCAAATGCCTATGTTTATGTAAGAAATAATTTTAAAACTTTATCTTAAGATAACAGGAGCTAATTAAATTTTCATTGCTAGGAAAATGATTTGAGTATTGATGTCCATGAAATACCAGCTAGCATAATATGCAAATAAGCTTTTTAGCTTCAGTGGGTTAAAATTTCTTAGTTTCGCTTATCATATTAGCACCTAACTCAGGTTCCAGGGAAATTATTTAATAATTTGCATGCCAATATTCTGTACACATATGTCGATATCTAAGCCGTAGATAGTTCTTGCTCACTGATTTTATGGTCATGTTGAATAGTAGTAAGGGTAAAGCGGACAGGCAAAGCAAAGCAAGACATTCAATTACACAGATTGCGGGTGACATAGTAGCGAGGTCTAGATAAGATTCCCGTATACAGGGTGTTGCACAGACCAATGGGTGGGAGTCAGATGTCGGCGCTATGGGAATTGCTGGTGCAGCCTGTATAGTTTATCAATTTAAAGACGTCGCCAATGCGCGACTGGCAGGCAGCGGCCACTTTTACCTAAGAACTGCTTGCCCAAATCGTATATAATCAGTTAAGTGACGGCGTTTGAGCGTATAAGTTTGTTGCCTGTAGCACAGCCTAAAGACGTGCGATTACACAATTTCACATTGCCACGAAAGTGCACGCAAAACAAATCGACATCGACCCACATTTAAGAGAGCACATCATGATGCTAAAACGCATCCATCAGCTACTTCTATACGCGCTGTGTCTGCTTATCTTGGCTGTGTTCTGTGCACCAGCACCGAGTGAATCTCGGCGGGTGATCTTCTTGGCGCCACCCGGAATTGCCCGCGGGCAGATACTGGCTACGCATGGCATGGAGAAGCCCTGCCAGAAGTGCCACATGAGAGACCACCGTGGCAACTGCCGGCGCATAATATCGTACAGTTCAGGTGTGTATTTATAGCCTTTACGCCGTGAGATAATCAAAGCCTATGGCCACTTCTGTGCTTAGGAGTGTGCTTTACTTAGGAGGCACTTTTTAATTTGCTTTTGCAGATGGCGTGAGCTGCTGACATCGAGGCCGGACGTAGTTAGGTCGTGGCTATCAAACTGAATCTCTAATTCACTCAGAAACCAAAAACAAAAGACGTCATTCGTATTTATTCGCTTTCAGTGCACTATTTATTACATTATTTCACACTTTTTTTGTCTTCTGCTAATAAAATTTGATGAACTTCTGCAAGCATTATAATAATATTTCGTTTGCATATTACACAATATGAGGAGTACACGACTAGGAGATACCCTGAACCCATCGCCACACTGCCGTCTCAAATATTCAGACTTCCCTGTGGTTCTGGGTCGTAGGTCGATGTCTTACGAGTCTCTGGTAAGAAGTATTATGACTGCGAATTTGGAATCACAAACCAGTAATTTATAATTAACTTGAACTGAACTGCACGTTTACACTGCACGTTTACTCCTCTAATCTATGAACGGACAGACGGACGGATATGGGTAAATCGACTGGGCTGTTGACGCTGATCTTCTGTATGTCACATACGGATACCATTACACCTTGTTAAAAATGAGCAAGCTGCGCTCGATTCTATATTTTGTTGTATGATGGAACATAACTTCTTTGGTACGCTGGCGGCCCCAAATGACGAAAATAAATTTTCTTTTTTTATTAGCATTTATATCTATTTTTGTTAATTTCGTTTGTTAGGTCAGTTCATATACATACTTCACCATTACTTATTCAAATCTAAACCTTTTTTATAATCGATACAATAAAGCAAAGCTTATTTAGCGTCCTACATTCCTTAGTTATACAGAATACTGAATTCTGAACATCAATTTTCTGAATTTCCAATACGAGGCCGCGAATAGTCACTGCATAAATAAATTTTTGTGTTTCTTCAAATGTCTTGACTATGCTCCTTAAATATTTTCAAATTTAATCAAAATTGGAGTATTATATCTGTCACATAAATAATAACTTAAAGATTAAGGTCATCTATAAAAAATCTATTTTCTGAATACTTGCTTGATAGCTATAGTTTATTTTAATATAACAGCTTAATCAGCTGATAATTTATTATACCCTTGTTTTGTGGTAGAATTAGAAACGCATAGGAGTCATCTCCGACCCCATAAAATATATATATTCTTGATCAGTTTTAACAGCCGGGTCGATATAGCCATGCCCGTCTGTTCATCTGTCTGTTTCTCTGCGAACTAGTCTCTCAGTTGTGAAGCTATTCGGAACCAGCTGGATCGGACCACTATATCATATAGCTGCCATAGGAACGATCTGTTGAAAACTTTTTTGTTTTTCAAGTTATCTTGACCAAACTCGCCATTTATAAATTTCACCATTCAAGATACGGGCAAAGCACTATGAGTATTATGAAAGGTATTTCAAGTATTTCATTTCTTCTGGAACTAACAATAACTTTTTCAATATTATTCTAAAAATCTTTGCTTTGCGCAATATTTCCGGAAGTACCACGGGTTCTCAGTGGTAAGTTTGCCATCCGGGCTAAGGAAAGAGCAACCGTTTATAAGTCACTGGAGTTTAGTTGACTTAAAAATCTGATGCAATTTTTTGGCTTCTTGGTTTTTGCGCCAGGTGAGTCGCCAGTACGGGTGCGTTATTCAGCACCGCAGGAGTACTATATTATTATTTTTTTTTAATAAAATTGAAACTAGTTTGATTATATTTCTTTTTGTTTGGTGGTGGCAGGGTAGTTGCCCAGGTACTTTATAATCTGGAGGGACTTAGAATAGCGGTATTATCAGTAAGCGTAGAGGATGTTAGCTTTGTCCAGCCAGACTTTGTTGGGACGCCGATGAATATTCTCGTTACTTTTCGATGTACAAAGACAGGTAAATAAACTTATTGATCATCCATACACTATAGTTTCGATTTCTCTCTACTTGGATTAGGTATCATCACTATTGAAATGTCAGAAAATATGTATAAGCGCAAACATTGGAGTTCGGTGACTTTTACAAATTCGTTAGGCGATAATTTGATTGGCTGTAATGCATCTACTTAGCTGTCATGTGATAAAAATGGGAGCACGGATTGGGGTTGACCTCTTCCCTACCTTGTCAGCTGCTAGTGGAACCACGTAATAGGATAACTGTTTCGATTGGAGCACTTAAATTTAAGCATTTGCATAGAGGATGCAAGAGAGTTTGAGCGCATTGGTAAGCCTACTTGTAGCTTCTTTTCAGTTAACAATATGTTGGATTCTCCGTAGTCGTCGTTTGCTCTACAGTGGTTCGATATAAAATTTGTCTCTTGCGGTGCTGAGACCTTTAAAGCTGTAACAAGTACAGACGTAAGCTGTCCCATGAACTGTCGATATGGTCATATTGGGTCGTTCGACTATGTGCAGAAGATGCGCGAGATTAAGTAGGACAGTGTGTGATCAGATAAAAAGGTTGTGACTCGGCGGTTATCGCGTTTGACATGGACTTTTTGGTGACGGCGAAATCAAATGGACTTTTTTTTAAGATCGTTTTTTTTTTTCAGCAGCTTTGCATCGATAGTCTTATTGTAAAATCTGGATAAGCGAGAGTTTTTCCGTAAAATGGCATAAGCGTTCTACACAGATATCCATAACGAAACCTTTATCTGGATTTTACAGCAGTTCTTGCTTTGTGGTTTGCATGAATGTCTTAAAGGCGTTTATTTGGCAGTGCTGCATGAGTCCGCTCGAGATGTGAAAAAATTCCAGGTGGAATGTTACAGGAAGTCGAAGGAGTCGGTTGCGGGGGAGTGTGGAACTTCGTGGTGGCATGAGGCCGCGCTAAGATAACACCTTTGCTTAGGCGGCTTTTTGGATTTTAGGCTGATGGTCTCAGTTGATCGACTTTCAATTGGAGGTCACTCCATATTAAGTTTTAATAAAGATTTAAGCTCCATATGTAAAATTGTTTGTCCTGACTGGTGATCAACGCACAGTCCAAGCCGTGAGAACTAACATAGGATGTGATGGAGGTGCTCGCTAATACGTGGATGCAAATGCGGTTTCATGTTTCTTTTTTATTTCCAACCGAACGGCCTCGAACTTGTTGTCAAAGATCTCTGCTTAAATTCATTTATGGGGTGCTTCCAATTGAACAGAAAACTTAAATCTCTCTTGTGGAAATCTGGAAAATGAATAGCTTTCTATGCATAAGTAATTTGAAACCCTTATTAACTTGTAAGCCGATTGTAACAGTCTTCCAAAAATTTAGTTTAGGGATGATAAATGTGGCTTTTTAAGGAAATATATCTTACATAGCTTGTGTATGTACATATATTGTCTTTGGATCTCTGAATATATATTGTAGAATATGAGAGCTAGAGCTAGAGTAAGTAAACACATTTGGGATGAAATGTCTCATGTAGCTTATAGATCAAGGCTAGTTTTGAGGCCTCACACTAGTTTGTTCACTCCTCTCCCCAAACGCTTTTAAAGAAAATAAGTTTTTATGGGGTGCCCATAAGTATGCACAAATGTATGGTTTCGGATTTTTCGGGTTGGGAAGAGTACAACTTCAGGTATCTTAATACAAGAGCACTCTGACTCTATCACAATCGAAAATCTTAAGTCAACTCGGTCTGCAATGTAATACCGATTAAGTAAGCTGACGTCTTAGTTATTGGGTTAGTATTTTACAGACTGCAACTTTAAACTGGGATTTTAGGAAATGTCGATTTATGTGTTTTGTGGACGCTACCGTTTTGTGGTAGTCAACATTGTGGTTTGCTTTAGGGGTAAATAAATTTTTCTTTTAATTTCCTCAAACGGACTCGAACTCATAGCCAACCGAGTTACTTGACACCGCCTCTACTTAATATCCATACCAACAATTTATTTTTAATAGAAAAAAAAGCAGTTAGAATAGGACATTAACTATAAATTGACAAATACTAGATCTGTATGTATCTAGAAGCTACATGTCAAGAGAATTGCTCAAAAAACAGGAGTTCTGTATGGTGTTTTATCGGTTGCTTGGTAACGGGGCAAGTTTTCGAATATCGGGAACAAACTCGTGCTGCGCAGGCACTATGACTTAAATTTTAACGGACATGGCTTGATCAATTAGGGTATCGATGCCGATCGTGAATATATATATATACTTTACGGGGTACTTTCTTCTGGCTGTATCATACATTTGCACAAAAACATTATACCATTTTTACTCATTTTCAATGGGTTCAGGGTATAAAAATGTAGTCTTAAGAACGCCCAATGTCGCCTTCTTTCAAAATGTTTAGCATATTTAGGGAATTCACTTTGTATAGGTTTTCTTGTTAAAAAAATTAAAAGCTTTGCGGAAAGTACGGAAAATTATAGAATCACCTTTGGTACTTTCCGCAAAGCTTTCAATTTGTTCATAGAGTTTCGCAGAATAATTTCAGGCGCACAGCTCAAATGCAGTAGTTTCAGTAGGAGCGCAGCCGGAAGCAGCGTCACTGATTAAAGTTGAAGCTGACCTATCGTGATAATGACGATGACGTCAACGATTTGCGGCCGCGACGCATTGTCTTGGTATTTTGTGAGTGGATTCCCGCCCGCTTTCGTCACAAAGTAGGTTCCGGCCAATTCGCCAATGCCATTACTAAGGTACAAAAATAGAACCCATAAATGCTTTCTGCCCGATGCCAGTAACAGTCCAGGGGTAACAAATGTAGTTCTCGACCATAGGCGTACAGAACACTAAACCGCTTATATCTTATCTTATCTCTGACTGGATCGCATGCAGTGGAATGCCCTTATCTTATCTGACAGCGCCGCATTAAATATTGAAAATATCGACACCACTGCGTCGACGACTACGGTAACAACATTGGCGATCGGTCACAGTCATAACATAAGACTGCTGCTAACCAAGCTGCGAGTGAATTCCACGCGAGTTGCCGTGACAAGCAGTGCCGAGAGTAACTAATAGAATTTAATTCAGTCGCCGGTCAAAATGAAACTGCAACGCTTACTTCTAGCTGTGGGATGCATTTTGGCGCTCTTGCTAGCACATTCCAGTCGAACAACGGAGGCACGTCACCTGATCTTCTATAGTCCACACAGCAAAACATTAACCGGTCAGCTGCTCATCTCCCAACGCGTCAAGCGACCCTGTCCGGCAGGGAAAATGCGCGATCATCGTGATCGCTGCCGACGTGCTGTCATCTTTGCGAGAAACAAGTGAGAGACAACGCGACTGAAGGCAGTCACAAAAGTATCTTCTTACCTGAGAAGTTACTTTTTCCATAGATGTTAATGCTTATTTATTGTCATTAAGTTATAGCTATGTAGCTGGTTTGTTTTTAATATTTATTAATTCCCTTAATATATACGTTCGTAGAAAGAGTTATAAGCAATGTAAAAGTTAAGTTCGTGCATGCATTTGCACGCGAACAAATAAAAGTAATTTATACATAAATTCCATGCACATGAATATTGCTGTTTGCTTTCATTATAACGAAATTTGAGAAGCAAGTAGGATTGTTTCAATCGGGGCAATTTTATAGGCTTATTAATTTGTGTCAACTTAACTTACGCTCGTCTTAACCGAATCTTATTAAATTTCCAACGATCAAGTCATACACATTTCTACTTCTGAATTATGGTTGCAGAGTTATATAAGTTGTTATTACAGCAAAGGTTCTTTATTGTCACACCTTCTTACGGATTTTGCGATTTCAAAAATGTATGAGTATGGAAACAAAAGTCTGAAGGTCAAATTAACGCCTGATTCTCAGGTACAGGTACATCAAGGCGATTAAAAAACTATTGGATAATAGACCGATAAATTAGCTTTTCTTGAATTAATAAAAGCAAGAATAAAAGCGCTGAGCTGCTGTCAAAAACATTCAAACAACATTTTATACATACATAAACAGAACAATACACATAAACACAAAATTGCGCAATACTATTAGAAATGATTAAGCGATTTACTTCTGTGTCTACTGCCCGGTCTATATGCAATTTTAAGGAAATCCATTTTAGAGATCGGGTGGAGGTATTCAAAATATCAAATATTCGAGTCTGTGCATACTATACAAATGTCTGCATACAAAATTTTCAAAGACTTAGAGATATGCAAAAATAAACAGAATTTAGCAATAAGAGTTTTTTCATGTCATCGATAACTAGCCCAATTTCAAGGCAAAAGATACATTTTACATAAGATAACCGTTATTTGAGCATATCTTTTATGTTTTTGGAGCTAGAGTCACCAATTTGGACATGTAGCTTCTCATAAAGAGAAGTATATGTCCTTGTGCGAACTACTCCTTAAGTGCGAACTACTTCTGGTTTTTGTAGAAGGTTAAGGCCTTTTGCTTGCGGGCATTTCCGACTTAATTTTTACACCAAGTACCTATTGAAAATGAATACAAGAGAATTTAATGATCTTATTAAACCGTATGTAAAAAGCAGCAGGCAATTTCTCTTACTCTATAAGGTGTATAAATGGTTGATCAGATTCGGTGGCCGCGTATATCTAGCCATTAAAACCCATTTATGGTTAAAACAAAATACTTGGGATGTATGTATAGTATGAACCTTTTTGATTGCGCATATCATATGAGTTAAAATTTAAAAACCTATTTTGGTACAGGGTACAGGGTATCTCCTAATCGCTTTATTTTGTCTTTTATATACGTAGGGTGCGCTTATATTTGAAACCGATTTTAACAATATGTTATGTTTCAGAAAAGCTTATAAGCGGCCTTGTTAGCTTAATAGACTAGGTCAATTATTTAAATGCATGTAAACAAATAATTCTCATAATAACAGATAGACAGACGGACGGACATTGCATTGAACTAATATACTCCTTTCACTTTCAATTTTACAGATAAAGTAACATCCCTTTCGTGACTTGTAATTGTTCCTAACTAATGTTTCCAGGGGTTTTGCTGTTGTTGTTTATGGTCTGTTCAATCCAGTCCATGTAAGTGCTGACTCTTGTGTAAACGCCGGGAAAGTCTGTCTCTCCGCAAATCTCTTTGCCGTACGAAACTATGCCGGCCTGATAAACGTAGTGATCTTTCTGGGGCGTGTACGCTTCGACGGTGAGCGGACCACCTGAATCGCCTAAACAAGAATCGACGTTAACACCACCTGAGGCACAAAGCTGACCATTATTAATGGTGTAGCCAAGCTGGCGAAAAGACGCCTCACACTGTTCTTGCGGCTGGACGTAGAGTACGGCCTTGCGCTTCACATCGCTAGGCTGATTGTTATGCTCGGTAGCGCCCCAGCCCGAAACGTCAGCAGCGCTGCTCACGAGCTGATTGGCGCGTGAGCCACGCGCTGGCGGTAGGCAAACGGGCTCCACGTGCTGGTGCTGGTGCCAATCTATCGGTTGTGCGAGACGCAACAATGCAATGTCATGAGTTAAGTTTTCTGAGTCAAACTGTGGATGCATAATTTTTAGATCGATGCTGACTTGAACGTGTGGCGGTGCACATTCCTGCTTTCCATTCAACTGGATTATGCAGTCTGGATTACTCGTCTTATTCCATTCGCCCAGACGGGCCCCTGTCAATGTTCGATAATTTCCAACAAAATGGCTGTGAACGCAATGGGCTGCCGTAAGGAGCCATCGTGAAGCAATGAACGAGGCACCGCAAATGTGTTGTTTGTTTCCATTTTCGCGTACCGTGTATTCCAATAGTGCGGTCCAGGGAAATTCGAACAGTTCAGTGTTTTTGCCGCCGATCACTCTATAGGCAAAAGAAGCGCCACAGTGTGGATATCTGGGCAGCTCTGTCGTTTCTTGCTTCCCTGTTTGAACTCCTGGTAATACTCTCACTGACAACAAAGGCAAAACATTTTGTTCAGTAGGGCAACATACCTGTTAATAAGAGATTTCATATCATCAGACTTATGCTTGTGTATGTTATACATCAGGAACTTGCAGTGAATATATGGATTCGTCCGTCTGTATGTTTATATGCTTACTTGTGTCTCATTTGTCAATTGCTCTCGTTATGAAATTTAGCAAAGAGCTAGACTGATTGGACCACTATCTAGTTGTCTCATAAAAAAAGAATTTGTTCTATATTTTAATCCTGACATTTTTAAATCCTTAGAAGTGAGCAAAATCTTATCAAAATCGGTTTAGTGTAGCTCCATGGAAATCATCGGTCAACAATGTGTTTCCGAGTGAAAATCTATTGACCACTATCAAATTAAACTACAATAACATGGGAGCAATCGATCGTAAATAATGATGTTTAGAAGAATACTTGATCATAACTGTAATACTTAATCAGATTTAAAGATTTCGTCAAGATCCTTGCCTTCGAATTTTCTTATAGTCAGTTTATTCAAATGTAGAAGTTACCGGGATCAGATCACTTTATCATTATCATTACCATCAATAGCAACAATTGATCGTTAATATGTAATTTGTATGAACAAAAATTTTAGTAATAAAATATACCGTACTGGGTTTTCACCCTTTGTCAACGCTTTTTCCATCATCCTCTCCAAATCCCCTAACCCAACAAATTGTAACTCACCAATCCGGGTCTCTGCAGCGAGTAGCATTGCCGGTTGCTCTCGACATCTAGTTTATTCAAATATTCAGGAAAAACACATTTGCTGCGATACACACATTGTCCAGAGCCGAGGTCCGTTAAGCAATTCCCAAAGTGTGTAGGTACTGTAAATGGTTGCCAAATTCGCATATAAATTGTGCGTAAAGATCACACTGCGTAGTTAGTTATTTTACCATTATCACTCGATTCTGGTACTTCCAGTTGTGCCTGCAGCTGAGCTCCCAGTAGCAGTAATAGAAACAGTAATACATGCGACGTCATCGATGTGTAACCAATGCTAGCTAGTTCAACTAACCGCTTCAATCACAGTATAACAACTGTTTTCAATAAAGCTGGCACTTGCCTCGGACCCAATCGCTCGCTTGGATGCAATCAATCGAGCACTCTCAATCCCAATGCAACTGTCGTGACCTCCAAATGGCTATCGTTAAGTTTTCAATTCGCTCTCGCATTGATTAGCATTTGTATTTACTCAATTTCTATTGGAAAAACCCGCCCAAGTTGCAGTCGCAAAAGTAACAACAGTGTTAACAACCCCCTACTGATCGAAACGCCATTGCTTACGTATGTAGATGTTATAAAAAACAAGAAAGAACGCCTTTCTTCGGCACATCGAAGAGTAAATACCCTTCATGAGTAATTATTTACGATTTAACTGATATGCAAGGAGAGTAGTGGGTCTTCTATTTGATGAGTTTTGGAAAGACATTTTAAGCAGCAGATAACGTTTCCATGCGAAAACAGATTTTTCAACCGAATTCTTCCTCGAAACCTAGATGTAGTATTACAATGATATTAATATATGGGGCTGTTCATACAAAAACTAATCGATCGATATATTGTTTTGTCTGTTGATACTGATCAAGAATATATATACGGACCGGGTCTTCTATGCATTGCGCACTTCATAACCAAATTAAAATACCCTCTAGAAGAGTACACCAATTAATCGTCTTGGTTGTATATTCATTTTATATATATATATTATTTACACTACCACTGACTTGTTTGCAGTAACGGAGATACACAGACGTAAACAGATATAATATATATATAACTTTATTATATAGCTGTATAAACAGAACCGGTTGAAAAATGAGTTTCTGTCTTGCAAGATATGTTTACTAAACACAGCGTTTACCAGCTTGACTATTATCACATATCCGCAAAACCGCAAATCAAACGTCAACAAGGGTACTAAATCATCGGAATTCCGAAGACTTATGAAATTTCTCGTTTAAGTACCTTCCCGAAGAACATTTTGAAACATGTTTTTGTTATATTTTTATTAACTTTCTGATTATAAACTTGTAAGAGTTCAGTAAACTATTATTTATTTATTTTCCAATTATCTCTTATATTAAAATAAATTCTACCCGGACTGGTAGAATTTCCCTGGACCTCAACATTGGAATAAAAGGAACGTGAAAATGGCAATAAGCAGCACATCTGCGGTTTGCCTACCGCCAGCGCGTGGCTCACGCGCCAATCAGCTCGTGAGCAGCGCTGCTGACATTTCGGGCTGGGGCGCTACCGAGCAGAACAATCAGCCTAGCGATGTGAAGCGCAAGGCCGTACTCTACGTCCAGCCACAAGAACAGTGTGAGGCGTCTTTTCACCAGCTTGGCTACACCATTAATATTGGTCAGCTTTGTGCTTCAGGTGGTGTTAACGTCGATTCTTGTTTAGGCGATTCAGGTGGTCCGCTCACCGTCGAAGCGTACACGCCCCAGAAAGATCACTACGTTTATCAGGCCGGCATAGTTTCGTACGGCAAAGAGATTTGCGGAGAGACAGACTTTCCCGGCGTTTACACAAGAGTCAGCACTTACATGGACTGGATTGAACAGACCATATACAACAACAACAACACCCCTGGAAACATTAGTTAGGAACAGGGACTTTAAGACTCTTTATATGCAATTGCCGTCAGTTACAAGTCACGAAAGCGACGTTGTTTTTTGTTGACGGGTTAATACAGACAGGCAAACAAATAGAAAGGCAAAGGCGCCAACTTACAGAAAGGCAGATGGACATGGCTTCATTGATTCAGCACGTCGTTCTGATCAATAATATATATTATTTTTAGCGACGAAGATGCCTCCCTTTGCCTGTTACACCTCTATATATAAAACTGTCTATCCTGAGTGAGTGACTGATTGACTCACCAATTGTCTGATTGGTGATCACTGTAGTTACCTTATGTGATGAAGGTGCACTTTAAGACAGGGTTTCAGGAAATTCCACCCGCATTTGTAGAAAAATAGCGATAATAGTCAAAGTCAATTTTAATGATCTTTGATCAAATTCATTTGAGCGGTGTTTTGCACTTTTTAGAAAATACATCCCTCTTTGGTGAAGATGGGGGTCAAAGATTTGGTGGGTGACGTTTCGCGCTCAAATTCATTTCCAAAGATCTATATAAAAAATCATTTGAGGCGTGTTTCACACTTTTCGCGGAATCCAAGCTTCTTTGGTAGAAATGCGTTTAAAATACTTCTTGGGCGAAGAATAAAGGTTTGTCCGATTTGCTTCAAACTTATTTTAAAGGCTCTACATAAGAACTTAATGAATACGTGTTTCAGTGATTTGGGAAATTTCACCCGCAACAGTGGTAAATTGGCTCGAATATTGATGCTGATCAAAAATATATATACTTTATGGGGTCGGAGATGCTTCCTTCTGCCTACATACATACATTTGCACAAATATATTGAACGCCTTTTACACATTTTTAATGGGTGCAGGGTAAAAAACACTCAGCTTTAAATCTAAAGTCTTGAAACCGTCCATAGGTCTATCTCTTTGCTTTCTGTATTTCGGCAGTACATATATTGGATCCAGCTGAATCGGACCACTGTTTATAAAGCTGCGATAGGAACGATCGATCGAAACAACTTTTTTGTGTATCAAGATATTTTCACCAAATTAAGCCCATTTACTAATTCAACTATTCTGCTTATATATTAGCTGAATCTCAAGCTCAGCATTTACGAGCTTTTTTCACATATCTGCAAGGTCGTAAGACATTGAATCTTCGGTGTGTCAAAGACAGCCGTATTTCCTCGTAGGATATGATTTTCATTAAAACGTTCATTATTAGAAGAAAATCACCTTAGCAGAATCCGGTAAGAAGGGGATATAGCCCTTTAGCTTAGAAAATTTCATTTACCACAAATGTTAGGCAAGCGGCGACCTCAAAAAAATGCGACAGCTAGCCAAAAATTTCATAAAGCCATGCAGAGCAGACAAAACCAGCTGGATGATGTAGGGCGTGCCTGGGCGGGTGCTGTTTCTAGTCTCGTTGCTAGTCTCGTTCAACAGGCCCAAGGCTAAATCTACGAAAATGTCACAGAAAAACCGCACAGAACACAAAAGTTTGAACTTTTCCAGTGGGCGTACCAGCTGCTTTGCCTTTTATTTAGGCTACCAGCTGCGCCCCATTTCGTTTTTTGTATGGTGTATTATTAGGGGGATGGAGACGTGGAGCACATCGTCTTTGCATAAATGCAAAATATATGCAAAGCTTAAACTGTGCGAGTCATGAAAATCTGATGCCAACGGAAAGCAACTGTCTGTTTGAACCGTAAGCGGGGAGGGGATTGGATGCAGAATTGACAATGGGGTACTGGTCAATGGGTGTGTGCCAGCGATATGTTCGCGTTTAGGATTTCAGATTTAAAATGCCGCAGTTGCATTGCTACTGCAAAAACAATAGTCACAATCGCCTTTCAAAAGACAAGTATGCGAGAAGCTGATGCTTTTAAAGATATCAAATTTAATCCAGATATTTTATTGAATAACAGATATTAAATTAATTATAATTGTCACAAATGAATATATACTAAATATATCCCTATGCGAATTAAATTGGCGATTCTTTCCTCTGTGCGCTTTCACGGCAATTTTTGGCTTACCCTTCACTTATCGCAAGTATTATCGATTAGCTTGTGTCATTAGCTTTAGTGATAAGCATATTAAAAGTGTATATTTGCCGATTATTAATTTGCGAATATACTATAGAGAAACCAGACAAAATGACTTATTTGTTTACTTTATGATCGTGGTGCGATTTTCTGGGACGAACACTAGTTGGACAATTTAAATGAATGCAACTCCAAGGGATTCTTCAATAAGTTATTTGGTTATTCGTACATGTTGCAACGCAGTCACTATTTATTTTTGCTGATGCTATGATACAATCCTTATGGCCAGCGGTGTCCATTTGCTAACAGAATACAACAGGCGGCAACAATTGCTGGCGAACAAGATGAAACGGAAGTTTTTGTGCGTCGGCAGTCGACGAGACGACGCTGGTATAGCTTTTCCTGTTTGATGTTTCCCTTTATACCCTGTACAAATTATATATAGGTAAAGAAAAAGGTATTATGGTTTTGTGCAAAAGTCTGTAAAAGGCAGGAGGTGATATAGGATTTGGTTAAATGCCGTGTTGATGTCATAAAACAAAGATTTTTTTCAAAATTAAATTTTTATTTGAAGTTAAAGACCGAATTATTATATTGACTAAGGGGTACACGGAATCTTGTAGTCACGAACATATATTGCACGAGCACATGAGGCTTGATTCAAATTATCGACGGCTTGCCCGGGCCTGTCTGCTTGTGATTTTGGTAGAGAAAGGTTCAGTCGGACACTCCCGACTAAAGTACTCTTACTTGTTAATTTTTTTACAGTGCAAAACTTTGTCTTGAGCTTGACTTTTATGTGGCTCAAAGGCAGGCGCTATGCTGCAGGCAAAGGTGGATGGCTTGGGTACTGGGCGAGCCCATTGTGTAGCTCCAATGCCTTCTTCGGGCGGTCAGAAAAGGCAAAAGGCACTGCATAACTTGAAGCAACTGCTGCAGCACCCGGACCTGACAGAAGTATCTGTTGCAATGTCACCAACTTGAACATGGCGGCAAACGGTTGAAGGGGGAAACGGTGGTGGCAGCGATAATGAATACCGTTGTTGGCGATAATGTTGGCGCCTGTTTGGCTTCGGGTTCAGTTAGCAGCATTGCTACCCATCGCTGTCAGTATGCCAAACGGTATCCTCCTGCTGCTTGCGCCAAGCCTAATACAAGTCAACAGCGAGTGCTGATAAAATGCCCCGTGGCCATTGTAGAGTTTCATGCACAATGCGTTTGCCATCGGACTTGGATTTGCTCTTTTAGCATTTATTCAATGTTATGAATAACTTTTCAGAAACACCGGCATAGCCCCCCAAAAGTAGCAGCGACAAAAGTTCCCAGTTTTTAATTGAAAATTCAAGCCCTTTCTGCCGGCAGGTGGTTCCGACAAGAATTATGTGCATGAGGTGAAGTTCGAAACAAACGGGGAACAAATGGGTGCAAGGGAAAAGAAATCATTTTGTCGTCGCGAATGCAAAACGTAAGAAAAATGCCCGCCTATGGGCACAAAAAGCATGGTTGGTGTTGGTGTGAAGTCCACAGAGTAAAATTGGCAGTGCATTTGTTTTGAATTGCGTGCAATATTTTAATCATTTAAATTACTCCAAACTTATTCCTATCATTCATATTTATACAGCCACTTTTGTTTTTGCGGAGAGCTTGCTCGCAAGTTCAGACACCCTGAACCCACTGAATTTGGGTAAAAAGGGTATAAGCCATATACATTGTGGAAATATACATATATAGCAGGCAGAAGGGAGCGTCTCCGACCCCATAAATTATATATATTCACGATATATATATAAGCCGACTATAAGCCGAGTCGATCTAGCCATCTCCGAAAACCCATTTTACTGTATCACTACAATTTAAAAAAAAAATCGAAGCCATGACTAGTCATTTTATTTAATTAAAAACAGTAAGAAAGATAAAAAAAAAACAATCAAACGATGCATCAGGCAAAATCAATATAAAAAATAAATAGCAAGTAAGAGGTTCTAGAAGAAAGCAAAGCACAAGAACTTTTTATATTATTATACATATATAAAAAGTTATTGCGTGTATGTGCTGATATTTAAATTTAGGTTTTTATACCCTGAACCCATTAAAAATGGGTATAAGGGTATATTGTATTTGTGCAAAATCCAAATGTATGTAACAGGCAGAAGGAAGCATCTCCGACCCCATAAAGTATATATATTCTTGATCAGCATCAATAGCCGAGTCGATCTAGCCATGTCCGTCTGTCTGTCCGTCCGACCATCCGTCCGTCCGTATGTATGAAAGCAAGGATCTCAGAACCTATAAGAGCTAGAGAAATTGAAATTTTAGATGTAGATGCTCTTAGTTCCCGCGCAGATCGAGTTTGTTTCCGATAATCGATAACTTGCTCCGTTTCCAAGCAATCGATAAAAATCTATATCGATATCCTGTTTTTTGGGCAATTTTTGTAAATAATAAGAGCTAGAGTCACCAAACTTGACATATAGCTTCCAAAATAGAATATATATATATATATATATATATATATATATATATATATATATATATATATATATATATATTTGATGTTGGAAGAAGAGGGCTCAGGGTATCCCCTAGTCGGGAGCTCCCGAATAGAACCTCTTGTTTTTTATTAAAAACTCCACTCTTAATAATATTTTAAGGTGTAAGGTGATATCCATAAATCGCTCGGGAACTATTTTTGTTTTGTTTTATTTTTGTTTTTAATACTTATCTTTATGCATCTGGTATATCACACTTTAAACTATCAATGAGTTTGAGGCAAATTGGATGGTAAGCAAGAAAATCCAAACCAAAAGTTTTTCGTTATTTTTTCACACTTGAGGGTGGAATTTTTCAAAACCCCATCTTATTGTCAAGGGCAGAACGTTTTAACCTCTGTATACCCCATTCCGTTCTCCGGAAAAATTTCAAACCAGTATTTTTGAAAGTAGCGCGTAGCGCTTTGGTCTTTATAC